CGCTAGCCTTGAGCTGAAATGCTGAGGGACAGGGCCCAGGCCCAGAGTTCAGGCCCCACGACCGGACCAAAAAAAAAAAAAAAAAGATGGAATTAGAGATGTGACTCAAGTGATAAAGTCCTAGCCTTGAGTGAAAAAGCTAAGGAACAGCACCCAGGCCTTGAGTTCAAGTCCCAGCACCAGCACGAGTGGGTGCGCGCGCACACACACACACACACAAATAAATAATAGTCACGAGTCACCAATGATTAACCTTGTTTTATTTACTTTTTCTTTTTTGAGACAGTTTCACTGTTTAGCCTAAGCTAGATTTGAACTTGCTATCTTCTCCAGTATTGGTATTACTTGCTTCAGCCTCTCCAGTATTGGTATTACAGGTGTGTCCTACCATACCCAGCTCCCAACAAGACTTCCTTCCTTGCTTGCTTCCTTCCTTCCCTTTTTTCCTCCTTTCTTCCTTCTGTTCTTTCATTCTTTCTTGTTGTTTTTTTTTTGGGTCCGATCATGGGGCTGAACTCTGGGCCTGGGCGCTGTCCCTCAGCTCTTCAGCTCAAGGCTAGCGCTCTACCACTTGAGCCACAGTGCCACTTCCGGCTTTTTTCTTTTTGCTTATGTGGTGCTGAGGAATTGAACCCAGGGCTTCAAGCATGCAAGGCAAGCGCTCTACCACTGAGCCACCTTCCCAGCCCCCTCATTCTTTCTTGTAAATACAGAATGACTGATTCTAATCCATATAGGAAATCAAAGCAACTAGAAGAGCCAAAACAATTTTGGAAAAGAATAAAGTTAGAGGAATCACACTGTTGGTTTTAAGACTTACTATAAAGCTACAGTAATAAAACTAAAGTAATAAAATGTGATATTGGTGGGGAGATAGATACATAATTCAGCCAAATAAAACGAAGTCCAGAAATACCCTCCATAATGTGGCTAGTTAAATTTTAACAAAGATTCAATAGCAATTTGATGGGGAAAGGGTAATCTTTTCACCAGGTGGTGTTCACACAATTGGACATCTGCATTTAGGAAAAAAAATACTACAACTTCCTACCTTTTCTGGGTGCTGGTGGCTCATACCTGTAATCCTAGCTACTCAGGAGGCTGAGATCTGAGGATCAGGGTTCAAAGCCAGCCCAGGCAGAAAAGTCCATGAGACTCTGATCTCCAATAAAAACCACTAGAAAACTGGAAGTGGTGCTGTGGCTCAAGAGGTAGAGCACTCGCCTTGAACTGAAGAGTGCAGGGACAGCGCCCAGGCCCAGAGTTCAAGCCCCACGACTGACCGGAAAAAAAAAAAAAACTTCCTACCTTTGATCAAAATCAATTCAAACTGGACCAGAGATAGAAAAATAAAAATGTGAATCTATAAAATTTTTAGAAGGAAACCAAAGGTCTTTGTGACCTGCAGCTGGCTTGTCATGGCTCCAGGAGCAGGAACAATGGAAGGAAAGGATCGGTAAAATGACATGATCAACACCAAAAACCTAACCAGGTACCGGTGGCACCTGTAATCCTAGCTACAGAAGACTGAGATCTGAGGACCAAGGTTCAAAGCAGGAAAGTTTGAGATTCTTATGCTAATTAGTCATTAATTAGCCACCAAAAAGCTGGAAAATGAAATGTGGCTCAGTGGTAAAGGGCTAGGCTTGATTGGAAAAAAAAAAAAAGTCAAGTTAGAGCATGAGGCCATAAGTTCAAGCCCCAGTGCCAGCATCAAAACAAAAGAATACCAAAAATGTGGCACTACATAGGATACCACTACGTGAGCAGCAAGGCAAGCTACAGACTTTGGTAAATATTTATAGATTGCATAGCTATCAAGGATTTTATCCAAAACATGTAGAGTTCTAAGAACTCAAAAAGTTCAGCTGAGTGCTGGTGGTTCACACCTGTAATCCTAACTATTCAGGAGGCTGAGATCTGAGGATCGTGTTCAAAGGCTAGCCCAGGCAGAGAAGTCTATGAGACTCTTTTCTCCAATTAGCCACCAGAAAACCAGAAATAGAGCTGTGGCTCAAAGTGGTAGAGCGCTCGCCTTGAGCTGAAGAGCTCAGGGACAGGCCCTGAGTTCAAACCCCAAGAGGGGGAAAAAGGTAAAGGAAAATCCCAAAGTGGGTACCAGTGATTTATGTCTGTAATCCTAGCTACTTGGGAGGTTGAGATCTTAGGATTGAGGGTCAAAGCCATCCTGTACAGGGAAAATCCTTGAGACTCTTTTTTTTTTTGGGGGGGGGTCTGGCCATGGGGCCTGAACTCTGGGCCTGGGTGCTGTCCCCCAGCTCTTCAGCTCAAGGCTAGCGTTCTACCACTTGAGCCACAGCGCCACTTCCGGCTTTTTTCTTTTTGCTTATGTGGTGCTGAGGAATGGAACCCAGGGCCTCATGCATGCAAGACAAGCGCTCTACCACTGAGCCACCTTCCCAGCCCCGTCCTTGAGACTCTTATCTTCAGTTAACCAGCAAAAAGCTAGGAGTATAACTTTGGCTCAAGTGGCAGAGCACTAGCTTTGAGCACTAAAACTCAAGACACAGCACCCAGGTCCTGAGTTCAAGCCCCAAGACTGGCACCAAAAAGAAAATATTCCAATTAAAAAGGGGGCATACACCAGACCTGTGTGCAGATAAATGCACAAGAAGATGCTCAGCATGATTAGGGAAATGGAAGTTGAAGTGAAATAAAGCATTTCCCTTAGAGTTCTAAACAGACTAGTTGCTGCTGGGTGGGGAAGGCACCAGCTTCCAGAACTCCTGTGCGGGGATGGTGGAGATGCTCATGTTTCAGCCACTCTGGAAAACTGTGCCAGTTGGTTTCTCATGAATGGACATCATCCATTTGCAGTCCCTCCCCAAGGTAGTTACCTTAGAGAAATGAGAAGTTATATACCAGCAAAAACCTACACGAGTGTTTGCAAGCCCTGCCTGTGTGTGTGTGTTTACACACTGGCGCTGGGGCTTGAACTCAGGGCCTGAGCACTATCCCTTAGCTCTTTTGTTCAAGAATAATGCTTTACAACTTGAGGAGCCACAGCTCTACTTCCAGCTTTTTGCTAGTTAATTGGAAATAAGAGTCTAATTTTCAGGGCTGGGAATGTGGCTTAGTGATAAAGTGCTTGCCTAAGATGCATGAAACCCTGTATTCAATTCCTCAGTACCATATAAACAGAAAAAACCAGAAGTGGCTCTGTGGCTCAAGTGGTAGAGCACTAGCATTGAGCACAGAAAGGCTTAGGGACAGTGCTCAGGCCCTGAGTTCAAGCCCCAGGACTGGCAAAAAAGAAAAACGACTTTTCACTTTTTGCTTTGAACCACTCTCCTCAGATCTCAGCCTCAGGAGTAGCTAGGATTACAGTGGGAGCCACCAGTGCTTGTCTAGCTCAGCTCTCTTAATAATTACCACACCCCTGAAACCACTAGAATGTCCGTTCCTGGATGAACTGACAAGTGGGCTGTGCAGGTCTATGCAGTAGAACAGAGACCTGCTCTGCAGCCAGGAGGGACCAGCTACTGGTGCGTGTGCCGCAGTGCGGGGGAATCTCAAGGTTACAGTCCTGAGTAAAAGAACCTGCCTTGAATTTCACATACTGCCTTTTGTCACACATGTGACGAGCTGGCGGGCGGGTGCCAGGGGCTGGGTAGTGAGGCCTTCAGAATGGCATCAGGAGGGAGTGTTTAGGGTTGTGGGCACGCCACATCCCAAGTGTGGCAGGACTCCCAGCTTCTCCAGTGTGTTCACAGCCAGGCCCCTCCCCTCCACAACGTGCTATTTTAAAAATAAACTAGACTCCCACACCCCACAGAAGTGCTCCATAAGGAAGGTGCTAAAATAGATAAATACAGCATAAAAGCAATAAAATGGAAAAACAATCCAGAAAGCAACTCCCTGGCAGTATATGTAAAGTAACAAAATGAAGTTGGCCACAGTTTTATCATGTCTGCTTATAGAAGCCTGCAGCAGCGGTTTTCACATGCTTTTTTTTTTTTAATTTTTAGACCATTACTGGTAATTTGTAAGAAGTTGTGCACAATAGTGGTGTTCATTTAAGACTTCAATAAAGCTTTCCATACACATTTTAACGAGTTGCCTTGAAATTGGACTTTGATTCTCCCAGCCATTGAATCTACTGTAGCTGTACAGTGGAACCCAGACTTCCTCATGAGCAGGCCCAATGCTCAGGTGAGGGGGGTGGGCCCGGCCTGGGCCTTGCTGCAGTCAGACCGCCGTGAGGCAAATGCAGGTGCTCAGGAACACAGTAAATTCAGTCAGTATGTCGGGGCCTACTCAAGTGTATGCTGCTTATGTGTTTGAGATGCCACAGTGATGGTGCTTGGCAGCCTGATTTGAGAAAGAGCGGGAGTCAGATGAAGGCGGGCAGGAGAGATGAAGCTCTTGAGGCCCAGAGAACTCTTAGGTTTGTAGGCAAGGAGAAACTTGAGTGTCCTGTGTGGGACCAAGCAGGTGCGCACCAGGCTGCAAGCGTCACTGGGAAGTACATAGCAGGGGATATGGGAAGGCCCAGTGCCAGGGAGAGATGGAGACCAGCTTGCAAGGTGGAGTTTCTCAAGACTTTGTCCTAACCATCCTCCTGAAACCATGAAGGGAGCTATTTATGATGCAGACACCCCTGGCTGCGCCTGGTCTGATGCTCTGTGGGCATACTGTGAACTGCAAACAGTGTCCCAGGCCTACCTCGCTTGTGACAGAACCTCTGTGAGGAGTGTGTGCAAAACACTTCCCGCAAGGGCTTTGCTTCATTCGTGTTTTGCTTGTATTTCACAACCCAGATCCATCCTGGAAACCACGTGTTGGAACACTGATTTTTTGGGGGGAGAGGGGGTCCCCAGGAACCATTTGTAGATTGTCCATAAAGACAGGAAAGCCTTCTGCAGGTATTTCTTTGTACAAGGATCGTTGCTTTCAGAAAGGAGTAGAACCCTTTGGTTCAGGTGAGTGGGGGAGGGAGGTGACACTTCATGATTTCCTGGCGTTCTCCCCGCCCCCAGGAGCAGCAGGCAAGCTGGACAGATGACCTGCCGCCTTGCCACCTCTCTGGCGTTGGCTCAGCTTCCAACCGAAGCTACTCCTCCGATGGCAAGGGCATCGAAAGTCACCCTCTGGAGGACAACTGGCTCAAGTTCAGGTATGCCTGTAGTGGAGGTTTGCAAGCAAGACACCATTGAGTGTGGGGCTTGCCCTAAATGTGGCCCTTGGCAGCAAGCCTCTGCTGTGGTACCTTCCCCATCTTGTGGAGGGCCTGCTCGGGGCATGGGGAAGAGGGAAGGCAGAAGGTCATGGGCACCAGGAAATAATAGCCAAAGTAGGGGACCTATGTAGGGACCTGAAGTCTTTGTCTTTAGTCTCCCCCAGTTCCTTTCTTCCCCATCCAAGGTCTCCCTTCACCCTCCCTCTACCAGGAGTGAGAACAATTGCTTCCTGTATGGCGTCTTCAATGGCTATGATGGCAACCGGGTGACCAACTTTGTGGCCCAGCGGCTGTCGGCAGAGCTCCTGCTGGGCCAGCTCAACGCTGAGCACACCGAGGCCGACGTGCGGCGGGTGCTGCTGCAGGTAGGAGCTCCAGGTAGCTGCTGTCACCCAGCTGACTTGCGTGACAACCCACCTGGGCCCTGGGCCTTGTCGCTATGAATGTACACTAGCTTCTTTCCCCCTGCTGAGGAGCAGATCTGGGAGCAGCCCCTGGTAGAGGAGCACCCTCATCCATCACTAGGAGCTGAAGGCCTTGCATGGAGTAGCGGTCCTGTAGGGCTGGCAGTCTGGCTCTGGAGGAGAGGCTGCTGCAGAGGGAGGGAGGCCTGGTAGAGACCAGGGTCTTCAGAGCAGCCCCCTCATCCGAGTGAGTCAGGTGCAGCCTCTTGCTGCTGCATATGGCCAGGAAGGAGCTCCTCTCCCCAACTCCCAGCTGTGTCCTTGCTGGCCAGCAGCCTCGCTGCCCGCTGTCATGTTGGGGTTTTCCTCCTACATCTTCATTTCCAAGCCCATGAAGATGGCCCGGCCTTTTCTTGTCCTCTTGGGACTCTGGGCTTCTGTACAGTGACTTGAGTACCCACACCGTGGAGAAGGGGTCAGCATCATGGTAGGCAGGACCTGGCAGGGTTTGACAGAAGCCTTCAGGAAGAGACCACTGTGCTCCATTGACCTAGCACTGCCCAGAGCCAGTGCTGAGCCAAGGGCTGCCTGCTTGGGGCTGAGCCACTCTGATGCCAAGCCCAGGCTCTGCTCTGGGCTCTTAAGTCCCTTTGGGTGATGCCTGAGCAGTACCCCCACCCCTGATGTGCAAGAAGCCCCGGAGCTGATGGGTGTGGCACTGGGTCCCGTGAGCACGGCTGTGGAGGCAGTGACCTGCCACACTCTCCCAAGGCATTCCAGTGTGGGGTGACCGGTGGCTGAGCCGGCCTTGGCCTCGTCTTGTGTCCTGCAGGCCTTCGACGTGGTGGAGAGGAGCTTCCTGGAGTCCATCGATGATGCGCTGGCTGAGAAGGCGAGCCTCCAGTCCCAGCTACCAGAGGTAACCTCCCCACCTGCATGGGCCCAGATGTCAAGGCCTAGCTCTGCCGGAAGCCAGCTCACCTGCCATGGTCACTCACCAAGCATGGACCCAGCAGAGCCAAGGAATCGTGGGAGCCAATGGGCCTGTGCTTGAGAGGCTCCCGTGGCCTGCTGTGCATGGGACAGCTTTCCCTGAGGCTCAGCTTTGGCTTTCAGTGACCGGAGGGAGGTCAGGCCTTTCCAGTCCTGTGGTCCCAGGCTGCAGCCTCATCACTTGCCAGCAGCTTCAGGCTGCCCCTGCGTTAGGGCTTGTGGGCGTTCCTGAGCAGGCCTTCATCCTGGCCATGCCACGGCCATCTGTGTGTCCTCTGGGCCTCCACATCCCTGCTCCCGTCTGGAGCAGCTGCCTGCCTGACCCCTCTGTTGATGGATGCAGGGTGTGCCCCAGCACCAGCTGCCTCCTCAATATCAGAAGATACTGGAGAGACTCAAGGTGCTGGAGAGGGAGGTCTCAGGAGGCGCCATGGCCGTCGTGGCAGTTCTTCTCAACAACAGGCTCTACGTGGCCAACGTTGGTGAGCCGCCCACTGTCCCAAGCCCTGGGAGGGGAGGAGGGGGGAGACTGGGCTTGGAGCCCTCTCTAGTGGGCTGCATTCTAGACACATAGAACCCCAGATGCAGAGTGTCCTGCAGCCACTGGACATGTGCCCTCATTCCAGCCACACCGTCCAGAAGGAGGATGGCCTGGATGGAGCAGGCATCCTGGCTTTTGGCCTCACTCTGCCACTAACTGGCTTGTAGCCTCGGGTGAGCCACAGTCTGGCTCTGAAGTGGCCTCCAGAAGAGGTTATGTGGTGCGAATACCCAGTCAGCATCCCCCAGCAGTGAGCTGGAGGAACTGAGCATCTGACTAATGGGAAAAGGAGCGGCCGTCTGGGAAGCAGAAGAGAGTGTGGAGCATGCAGGTTCCTACTGTGGGGACTGCAGAGACCTCTTGTGCACCCCTCTGTCTTCCTCCATTCCTTAGCAATTTGTTAGACAGCAACTTTCAAACCAAAACGAGATTAGTACTTAGTGGACCACCACGTCGCATCCAATGCCAATAATTACCTTGTGGCTGGTTCTATTGCCCTTCATCCCCAAATTTTTGTGAAGCAAACCCTAGACATTGTGGTGTGGTCACCTCCAGAGTAGAGATACCTCTACCCTAGTACTCTTAGTACATGCATGATCCTGTGATTGTCACCAATGACCCCCAACTGGTAGGTCACCCCTGGTCTAGCCTTGGCCTTTCCTGCAGCCTGTGTGAGAAGCCTGCCCTCCCCCCTTCTCTCGGGGGTCCCCTCCTCTCCCAGGGGCCTCCGCCTCCTCCTGCATAGTCTTTGCCTAGCTGCTCAAACTGTGCTGCAGGCACGAACCGGGCACTCCTGTGCAAGTCCACAGCGGATGGGTTGCAGGTGACCCAGCTGAACATGGACCATACCACAGAGAATGAGGATGAGCTCTTCCGCCTTTCCCAGCTGGGTGAGCAGAGGATGCCGGGCTGGGGGGTCAGAGTGAGGGGACTGACCCCTGAACCCCTCATGCGCTCTCCTTTGCTGGCCAGGGAGAGGGGTGGAAGGGCTGGGCGCTTCAGTCTGTGGCCAGTCTGCCTGGGGTGCATGGAGGGGGCGTGGCCTGGGGAAGGGGATGTTCTTAGGACACTAGGGGTGCTGGGTAGCTGCTCACCATGTCACCCTGCGGTTACCTCCCTTTCCTCCTTGTTGGCCTGGCATGTTTCACTCTCTCTCTCTCTCTCTCTCTTTTTTTTTTCCTAAATTTGTCATGAACCAGGGGTGGTTCTACAGGAATGCCTGTTCTGTCTCTCCCTGGTAGGTTTGGACGCAGGAAAGATCAAGCAGGTGGGGGTCATCTGTGGGCAGGAGAGCACCAGGCGCATCGGCGATTACAAGGTCAAATATGGCTACACTGACATAGACCTGCTCAGGTGGGTGGCCAGCCAGCAGCCCGCAGAGGGCTGGGGCCAGAAGCCGATCTCAGGCCACAGAGGGAGGGGTTATTGAGGCTCAGGGAGACACTTTTCCTCCCCCCAGGGTAGCAGGTATGCGGTGGGGCCTGGGTGAGCAGGCCAGGAGTTGGGTCCCATGGTGCTAGGCTGGCAAGGGGTCAAGAAGGAAGCTGGGCCAAAGCCAGGGCAAGCAGCAGTGTCGCAGGACCTGGCGGGGCAAGCAGGAGGTGGCATGAAGAGCTGGCGTGGATAGGTATGGGCAGACCACCAGCCTGTTGGTCACTGCTGCCCATGGCCAGAGGCATGCAGAGGTGTGAGATGACTTACCTGCCTTCCTGCGGGGACGCTGCCCTCTGTGGTGATACCCAGCTTGTGGCAGTGACAGTCCTGCTGAGCCTTGGTTGCGGCCAGCCTACACCGCTCCTTACACACAGCCTTCCATTCTCCATTTGCTCAGACCCTCAGATATGTTCCTGAGTGGAAACTGAGGCACGGAGACATCAGGTAGCCTGCCTGGTCATAGGCCTGGTGATGGACCAATGCAGGACTTGACCTCGGGCAGCCTGAATTTGGAGCATGTGTCCTTCATGGCTGGCTAACCTGTGTAGGAAACACTGGCACTTGGGTGATGCCAGCCACAGCTTTTATGTGGCAGGGCCGTAGGAACCTCGCCAAAGACCCCGTCAGCAAGGGCCAGACCTCCTCACCTGCGCCTCCCAGGATTTAAGCAGTTTGGAACCTTTGTCATTAATTTATAGGGTTTTCTTTGCTCTGTTGAAGGCCTGTGTGTGAAGGGCTCAGGGCAGGGCAGTGACGGCAAGTCTTCCATCCGTGCAACCCAGGAGACCCTGCTGAGGCCACCAGTTTCTCATGTGTGTCTGCACATGCGAACATGCACACAGGTGCCTCTGGGTGTTTTCTGGGAGCTAAGGATGACAGCAGCCCCCTGAAATACCCACAGAAACACCCTGTGCACACTCCCAGGAGTGTGCCCCCTTACCTTTCTTCCTTAACTACCTTATTGCAGTCTGAGTGGTGTACTCAGGTCCATACTTCCTGTGCGCAGCTCGGAGGCCGGAGCTAAGGTCACATCCCCCTCTGTTTACACAAGCGATGCCCCTCACACACCTGCACCTGAGTGCAGCCTCTGGGATTCCAGCACCTGGTGGGCCTGGACAGCCCAGCCCTCGGCATGTGTCCATTTTGTCCTGAGTGTTGTGTCAGGAATGTCCTGGGGCCCATGTACATGTGCTCCAGATTTGCAGGTTAGCAAATGGCGTCTCTGCACATGGTCTATTTGTGGCTTGAGCTGTATAGACACCTGTGAGTGGGCTTGCTTTTTTTTTTTGACAGTCGGATTTGAACTCAGGGCTGTAGGTTTGCTTGGCTTGATTCCTCAGCAAGCATTTTACCACCTTCAGAGAGGAGGGGGCTTTTCCATGGCCTCCTCTCTTGCTGTTCTGCCCTGCCCTGCCCTGCCAGGCTCTGTAGACAGGAGACACCAAACAAGGCTGGAGTCTGATATTTGACCTTGGCCATCTGAACCCCAGAGCACACCAGCTCTCCTGGCCCTCAGGTCTGCTCTGATTTTCTCTTTCTTTTCCACTTACCAAGTCAGTGTTTTATTGTACATTCTGGGTGTAGCTTCTCCCCCCAGCAGAAGCAGCCTCCACCCGGTGGTCTATCCACACCAAGCCCTCCCTCCCCTCTCCCACAGTGCCGCCAAGTCCAAACCCATCATCGCTGAGCCAGAGATCCACGGTGCACAGCCACTGGACGGGGTGACCGGCTTCCTGGTACTGATGTCCGAAGGACTCTACAAGGCCCTGGAGGCAGCCCACGGGCCTGGCCAGGCCAACCAGGTGAGCCACACACTGCACAGGTGGCCAGGCGCTCTCACAAGCTGTCAGACATCTTTCCAGAGGTCAGAGGTGGGGAAGGAAAAGCTCAGAGCTCTGAAGACATTGCTCCTGCCCAAAGCAGTATTCATTTCACTGTTCAGCACAAGTGCTGAGGAGGAGGGAAAGGGAGAGACTCCACTCAGATTGTTCTGGGCTGAGGGGGAGAGCCCAGGAAGGGCTGCAGCCTGCTGCACAGAGCTGGACTCAGGTATCAGGCCTCCCTGCCGCAGCCTCAGGAGGCCTCTGTTCAGTGAGCAGCAGAGTCCCTCACCTCTGCAGCGAGGAGGGCCGTGCTCCTGTGGAGGCCTGTGCATGGGGAAGGCCATGCTCCCGTGGGGACTGTGCTGAGGTCAGGCACAGGAAATGGAGCTGTTGAGTCAGGGAGAAAAGACATGTTTCTCGCACAACGTGGCGCACAGGTGGCAAGCAGTCGTCACTGAAGTATGACTTCCAGGCTGGTCTCAAAGTCATGTGCCGGGAACACAGCTGTGCACTGCCATGCCTGCCTCTGATCGTCTCTTTTTCCTTTCTGGGCAGCACTGGGGATTGAACGCTGGGCCTTGCATTTGCTGAGCAAGTGTTCTGCACTTGAGCCCACGTTATTTTGCCTTTAGTTTGTGTTTAGATAGGATTTTGTATTTTTGTCCAGGCTGACATCTACCCTCAGTCTTTTTTTTCTTGTCAGTCATGGGGCTTGAACTCTGGGCCTGGGTGCTGTCCCTGAGCTCTTCAGTTCAACGTGAGCACTCTACCACTTGAGCCACAGTGCCACTTCCGGTTTTCTGGTGATTCATTGGAGATAAGAGTCTTACGAACTTTCCTGCCTGGGGTTGGCTTTGAACCATGATCCTCAGATTTCAGCCTCCTGAGTAGCTAGGCTTACAGGCCTGAGCCCAATTACCCTCAGTCTTATTATTTCTTCCTCCCAAGCAGCTGGAATTACAGACATGAGCCACTGTGCCCATCCTCTTCAACAAAGAAAGTGTAGCTATCTCCCGATTCCCTGTGTTCAAGGGTTTCCACCGTTTTCTTCTTATTCATCCCAGCAACTTTGTAGCACAGAGGGGCCAGTGGCTTACCAAAGCAGGGAACTCAGGTGGGGCTCAGCTCCCAGGGTTCTGTCTGAGGTCACGGTGGGACGGTGGAGCTGAGCCTGGCTCCCTGTCCGGTCCCTTCCCCTCACCTGTCTCTGCCCTCTGCCTCTACGAGCTGTAGCCAGTCCTCCCGTAAAGAACTGTGGTTTTCTTTTTTTCTTTCTTTCTTTCTTTCTTTTCTTTTCTTTTTTTTTTTTTTGTCGGTCGTGGGGCTTGAACTCTGGGCCTGGGCGCTGTCCCTCAGCTCGCGCTCTACCACTTGAGCTACAGCGCCACTTCCGGTTTTCTGGTGGTTTATTGGAGATAGGAGTCTCACGGTCTTTCCTGCCTGGGCTGGCTTTGAACCTCGATCCTCAGATCTCAGCCTCCTGAGTAGCTAGGATTACAGGTGTGAGCCACCAGCGCCCGGCCTCATTTCTTTCTTTATTTTGAGTCCAGTCATGGGGCCTAAACTCTGGGCCTGGGTGCTGTCCCTCAGCTCTTCAGCTCAAGGCTAGC